ATATCACATCATTCCTCTTAAAATGGTTTTCATCAAAGGAAAACAGATAACCATTATTGATAAGAGTAAAAAGAAAAGTGAATCTTTGCACACTGTTGATGGGAATTAAAAAATAGAAATAGCCATTATGGAAATCAATATGAATTTTCTCAAAAAATTAAAAATAGAACTATTATCCAAACCAGCAATGCTATGACTAAATATATATCCAAAATAATTAAAATCAGAATCTCATAGATTACCTTTCACTCCAGTGTTCATTGAATCACTATTTACTGCAGCCTAAACATGGAAACACCTAAATTTCCAGAATGAGTGATTTATAAAAAGAATATGGCTTACATACACAGTGAAATATTATCCAGCTGTGAAATTTAAGGAAATCTTGCCATGTTCTTGGATGAACTTCGTTAGGTAAGTGAAATAAGCCAGATGCATAAAGGAAAATACTGTATAATCTCCCTAAATGTGGAATTAAGAGGGGAAAAAATGAAATTTGGAAATAGAAAATAGAATAGTTGTTGGGAGATAGAGGTATTAGTCAATGTATACAGTTTCAGTTATTAAAGTGTCCTACGCATCTATTGTATTTCAAAATTTGTTAAGATCTTAATTATTCTTATCATAAAAATTAAGGCACAAGAAGCTTTTAGAGGCAATGGCTATTTTTATAATATTAACCATAGTGATGGTTACACAGGTGTGTACTAACATCCAAACTAATCACAGGGTATATATTAAATATGTATAGCTTTGTACATGTCAATAGTGTCTCAATTAAGTTTTTTTTTTAAGAATTCCTGCAAAGGACTCTTTGATCCACACAGTTCAGGGAAGAATTGATGAGCTTGACAATAAGTTCATACAAATTTCCCAAACTCTAATTTAAAAAAATGAAAACACAGAACAAATCCTCCATCAATTTTGAAACAATTTTAAAATGTGAAATATTTATAATTAGAAGAATTTTAATGATCCCCTCTTTATTGTAGTTATATTCAAATATATAAATATACTACAATGCTTTTCATTGCTGTGCTTTTTTGCTTTTTCAAATAAATCTGCTGTGAACATTAATGCACAAGCCTTTGTACAGTGTGTATTCCTCTCTCTTGCAGTAGAATAGCTAGGTAATATGGTACATGCATGTTTAATTCTTTCTTACAATTCTTCTAAATGTTTACCAAAGTAGTTACAATTTTACACTACAAACATGTAAAGCCCAGCTCTTACCATGCTCATTCATTTCCAAATATGACTGTGGCCAGTCTTTATATTTGAAGACATCCTAATAGGTGTATGCTATAATTTAGATCAAAATGTCCCACAAAAGTCTGTGTCCAAAGGGGAGACTTTTGGAAGGTGATTAGATCATGGGAGTGGTATATTCATTAGCGGATTAAGCTAATTGTGAGTCCATGGCTGAAATGGCGGGTCCTGATGGAGGTAGGTCAATGGGGAGCGACCTGGAAGAGTGTGTTGTTTTTTTTTATTTTGGGGTCCTCTCTCTCCCTCTTCTCTCTCTCTCTTGCCTCTCCCCACCTTTCTTTACTTTACTTTAGTTAAGTAATTTCTCTTTGATTCTACTTTTCAAAAATAAAAATTTATTTTGAAAAAGCAAATGTAGGATAACATAGGTTCACTTATTTAATCAATTGTTTTAAATATGCACACACTGGTAGAATTATATATTTTTTCTTTACTATTTTTATTAAAGTTTTTATGGAATTGTATATTCATATAGGAACAATAGAGATCCTGCATACATTTTACCTAGTTTCCCCAATAGTAACAGCTTGTAAAACAATATTACACTAGATTCCTACTATTTCCCATTTATATCCACATCTTCTCTCCCAATCCTACCTCCATGTTCATGTTTGTCTTCTACTAATCTGTTTGTCACTGCTATAATTTTATCACTTTTGGAATGTTACTTAAATAGAATCGTTCATGTATAAACTTTTGGTGTTGACTTTTTTCACCTAATTCAATTCTCTAAATATTTATCCTGATTGTTACATGGATTATTTTGTTGTTTGTTGTCATTGAGTAGTATTGTATGTTGTGGAAACACAGTACTTCATTTAGCCATTCATATTCGGATTCATATCTAGAACTATAATTACTGTGTTGTATAGTAGTTGCACATTTGGTATTTTAAGAAACTGTCAAACTATCTTTCAGAGTAGCTGTGGGATCATTCTACATTCAATCAAGCAATATATGAATGATCCAACTTTCCACATTTCTGCTACTATTAAATGTTGATACTACATTTTATTTTAGCCATTCAGGTAGCTATGGAGGATAACTCATTGTGGTTTTAATTTTTATTTGTCTGATGACTAATGATATCCAACTTTTTTCCACTTTCAGGATTTTCTTCAATATTGGTTTCCAGTTATATATCTTCTTCAGAAAACTGTCTCTTCATATCTTTCCTTCATTTTCTATTATGACTATTTGATTATTTTATTTTTGTTTTGATTTGTTTTGTTTTGTTGGTACCAGGGATTGAACTCGGGTCCCTGCGCTTGCAAGGCAGATGGCAGAACCGCTGAGCTAAATCCCCGGCATGGTTATTTTAAAACTAAAGTGTTTTGGAGGTTTTGGGGTTTTTTTGTTGTTGTTGGTTTGTTTGTTTGTTTTGTTTTGTTTTGTATCAGGGGTCAAACTCAAGACCTTGCACTTGTAAGGCAGGTGTGATGCCACTGAGCTAAATCCCCAGCCCTTAAAAAATTTTAAGAGGTTTGTTTTTACTTTTGTTTTGCTTTGTTACATTCTAGGAAGCCCTTTATTGAATATATAATTCACAAATAATGTATTCTAGTCTGTGGCCTGTATTTTCATCCATTACAACGTATTTTACAGGCAATTTTTTTAAATTCTTGATTAAGTTTAGTTCATGCAATTTTTATTCTTTTCTGGATCATGCTTTTGCTGTCACATCTAAAGGCCTTTAACTAGCCCTATGTCCTAAAGATTTTTGTCCTATTTTTTCTAAAAGTTTTAGAGTTAAGGCTGTACATACAGCTGAGATCAATTTTTATGTATTATTGTATTTTTATAAGGCATGAAACAGAATAAATTTTAATTTTTGAAAACAAATTACAAATGTACAATTTCCCTAGCATCACTTATTGAAAAATTATTTACTCCATTAAATATTTTTGTACCTTTTTCAAAATTCATTTGGACATATTTCTATGGTGTAGTTTAGGGTTTCCTTTTTTTTTTCCATTGAGCGGTGTGTCTACCCCTCCATTTATACAATATTGTCTTGTTTTTTTTGTAACTATGTAACTTTCAAAATCAGGTAGAGTGATATTTTTCCACTCTTCTGAAAATGTTCTTGATATTCTAATTTTTTGCATTTCTACATAAAATAAAGTATAGAAAAACTTTATATTTACAAAATAAAACCTTGGTGAGATTTTGCTAGGAATTTCTTTTATTCTGTATATTAATTTGAGGAAAACTAACATTAACAATATATAGTGTTCCAATCCATTAAAATTATACATATAATTTTATATGTATAATATATATATATATCACTATTTATTTAGAACATTTTATATAACTTTCAAAAATATGCTATTTTCAGGATACTAGCCCTACTTATGTTTGTTAAAATTAACCCTTCTTCCTGGAATGCTGTCTGGATGGCTACCTCCTTCCCTTCAGTGAGACTGCAGCTCACACACTACCTCCTCGGAAAAGCCTGTCCTGACCACCCTTTCTAAGCTGCATGCACAGTTATTCTTAATATCGTCACCTTAACCTAAGTCTTAATAGCACTCTTCTAATATATTCTTATCTAAGTTTGTTTCTTTGCTCATCACCTGTCTCTTTTCCCTGCCCTTTTGTGCCCCATCTCCCCCCATGCTGTAGATAATTAGCCCTAGAAGAAATCAGGTGTTTACTGTCTCCTTCACCACTATATATTTGAATTTTAAAAACAGAAGCTGGTACAGGATAGGGGCTCTGTTTATACTTGTTGATTAAATAAGTGTATAACTCATAACATGTAAACCTCTAAGGCAAAAGGAAGAATGGAAATAACAAAGAAGAAATACAGAACACTAATGGTATTATAAAGCCTGCTTGACAGGACAAGAATTCATCAACTAATAATTTTTACTAAAATTTTTCCCAGTGAAGACATAGCACACCCTCATCCCACATTCCTGATCTGAAGTCCAAGAGATAAAATTTAATGGAGGATTTCTTTATCTGGCTGCTCTAAATTTTTTTTTTTTTCACTCTCTTGCCCTTAGGAACCAGGACTAGAAGAAAATATGCACTTTCCCTTTTCAACATTCTCTTGACAATAAAGTGAGATGACCCAGAGCCCTGAATGAGAATAGCATCCCTCCATGCTTCTCCTTTTCAAGGAATCAAAGGAATCTCCCAAAACGAAATCCCCAACAATGCTCAACAGTGATTCAGTAAGTGAATATATAAATGACTAACTCTAAATGCACCAAAGTCAATGTCTCTGCCACCACTTCACAGGAATTCTAAGTTTGAAAAAAATTTTGTATAACTTTACCAATTTTGGATTTATTATCATGAAGCTGTTTCTTCTGAAAACTGTATAATTTATGAATATAGCTGTAGAATAACACACTGCTGTATTTTTCCTATTGGCTCTGAAATAATGAAGGGCTGTTCATCCTCTCTCTTATGCTGTCTATAGTTTTGAAGTTATTTCTATAACTACTCAATTTCCCCTATTTTTTTAGTCATTATCATTTTATCATTATTTCTTACTCTTCTTTTCATAGCTTCACATATCATGTGCTTTATTAAGATTTGTCATCTGTAACCAGTATAACTTCTATAGTGGGACGTTGGTTTACAAACTTAATTCAAATTTCCCCATAAGGTCAGCATTGAACCTAACCATTGAACTTGATTTCATTCTCATCCAATTCAGTTTGTGACCAGAATAGAAGAGAAAATTAAATTCATGAGCTGAGTTACCACTGTACTTAGGCGAGCACCCTTTTCTTCAAAGTCTTTTGCAGTGCAACTTGAACATCTTTGTTCCTCAAACTGTAAATGAAAGGGTTCATCATTGGCCCTACAATAGTATAAAAAACTGTGGATATTTTGTCTTCATCCTTAGACCCAGAAGGAGAAGATTTAAAATATATGAATGCTGAGGATCCAAAGAAAAGAGAAACAGCAATTACGTGAGAGCTGCAAGTACTAAATGCTTTGGACCTGCCTTTTGTAGAATGGATTCGAAGTATACTGAAAAGGATCAAGGTATAAGAAATGAAGATCGTGAGACTAGGCACTATTATACTGACTCCCACCACAATGAAAACAACCAGCTCATTGATGGCGGTACTTGTGCAGGAGAGCTGCAGGAGAGGAGGTATGTCACACATGTAATGGTTGATGACATTGCTGTTACAGAAGCTGAGTCTCAGCATGCACCCAGTGTGAGCCATGCCACCTGTAAACCCTATCACATACCCACCCACCATCAACATGAGGCAGACTTGATAGGACATGGTGACTCTGTAAAGCAAGGGCTTACAGATGGCCACATACCTGTCATAGGCCATTGATGTCAAAATACAGCATTCATCAATAACAAAGAAAGCAAAGAAAAAGAGCTGAGCCATGCACCCAGCATAAGAGATGATGTTCTGTTTCACAAAACTCATCATCATTTTGGGGGTTATAACAGAGGAGTAACAGAGGTCAGTGAAGGAAAGGTTGAAGAGAAAGTAGTACATGGGAGTGTGCAGGTGAGGATTGAGATAAATCAGAATAAACAAGCCCAGGTTCCCCAACATGGAGACCACATAGATTCCCAAGAAGAGGAAAAAGAGAGGCAGTTGGAGCTCTGGCTGTTGTGTTAAACCCAGGAGGACAAATTCGGTCACCAACGAAGAGCCATTGCCTGAGGCCATTCTTTCCTGGCATGTGTCTGTGAGGCTGAAATAGTAACACAATAACATTAAAATTAGATTCCGGCTCTCTACCCCGAACCTCACTGTAATGAGATTGAGACCCTGAATGGGAGAATGTGCTCAAGCCCACCCTTCTTTTTGCCTTTATTTTCTCCATTTTAATAGAATATATAAACACGAATATTAAAAAAGCACATAGAAAGCAATTTCTGTGGGGATAAGATTCAAGAAGCCAAGGAACACCCTTGGCTCTACAGTATTTCTGCTCCACTTCTGTCTTGATAGTCCCCCTCCCACCTCAGGGTCAGTGAAGTCTCAGCAGACAGGAGACAAAATGTTTCAATAGCTCATCAGACCCTAAGATGAAGTTTGCAAGAAGAAAGTAAAAGAGGTACAGCTTAACACTCACCCTTCAGCACTGGCTTTTCCAGGAAGGACCTTATTAACTCCTCTTGCCTGCTCTCCTAAAGGGGCAAATAGTTGTCATTAATTTGTAAAATGAACAGACCAGAAAAGAGATCTGTTCTACCATTGTTACTGTTTTGGTTTTGGACGAGTTTGGGGCTGGAAGAGCCAGAAGACAGCCCTCAGTCCCCAAAGCTCTCAAAAGATGTGAATTCCAGATTATGTCTTCTGATGATAGCTCTTCTCAGCTTCCTCTCTAGCCTGGGTTGTGGCAAATAGAGTCTACTCATGCCCAGACTGCTAGCTGTTAACATGACCCAAGAGGTTTTGTGAGATATAAAATCCTAGGGACCTGATTAAAACTTGGAAGACCTATATTTCCCCAGTGTTCTCCCCAGAGAGCATGCTTTATAGCTAATAGAAAATTACCCACTCTGCATTTACAGTATAGTTTGTGACAATAACATTGACTTATTACAACTATACTATTTTATACACATCTCAGTTTCCTACCAAATGAGGCACATAGCCCAGCAGGAAAAAAATAAAAAAAATTTCTTGCATCTACAGCATCTATCCCTATGAAGTACCTATGAAATACTACGTATGTCTTTGTTCCTTCTATCTTCTCACAATATATGAATGTATATTCATGAACTCACATACATTATAATCTAAATTTCTAAAAGGTCCAGATATTGTATCTTTTCTTCAGGGCTCTGTCTACAGAACCATAGAACTAAACCTGTCATATATATTGTTAATAAATATTTGTGTTGTGATAAAAGATTAAATAAAAGAAGATCCCTTTCCCATTTTTCCTGGAACCTCTACTGGATACTACTCAGAATTACTGACTCATGGATAAAGCCTTACGTACTTTACATGCTGTTATTTATAGATCAGAACGTAGGACAGGAAAAACATGAATATGACATGTAAAGGCCACTGCTATACTCTTGCCGCCCTCCAAATCAGAGTTATCATCTCAAAGACTGTCACAAAGAGAACTTTCACAGGTTCTCAGAGTGTCCCAAAGTCCCTCCCCTCAGGATGGCAGCATAAACTCAGACCAGAGTAGGATTTGGATCAGTGTGGTACAGGAAGCTCTCAAATGCCAAAATCAAGATTTTGTTCACAATAGGAGTCCCAAGACCATTATTTGTTTTTTTGGCACATTAATGACAGCAATGCTGATTTACAAAGTTTAATGTAGTGAACACTGCTAGAATGACTGGAGTTAGATAAATGAAAGTAGGATGAGCTGTAGGAGGCAATTACAACAGCCAGTGAATTATCTTTCTTTTTTTCTCTTTTATTGAGTTTATTGTTACATTTTAGGCATACAGTACAGTTACACTCATTATTGGGATCTTGTACCTTTACATGACAGGTGGTCTTCGTTCTTATTTTTTCCCTTGTCCCTGCCCTCCCTTCACCCTCTCCTCCCCTCCCCGTTTACAAACACTTTATTTCCTTTTTTTCTCATATTTTTCCCTTATTACCTTCCCCCTACCCTTCCTGAATTATCTTTCTTAAATCAGAATTATTTTCCTTGAATTCTCAGAGCTGCTGTGAGTAATTCTAAGAAGCAAAGATATGTAAGGATGTTTCAAGAGAAGATCCTGAAGAACTTCTCATAAAGTAAATAAAAGTATACAAAAAAATTCCCCAAGATACTATCCTAGGTGTTTTGGCAAATTGTTGTGTTACTACAAACAAAAAGAACCCAAAAAGAGTAGAAATATCAGTAAAAATTATATGTGCAACCTTGAAAATGTTTTGCTAGTGCATAACCAAATAAAATATATATTAAGCAAATGCCTAAATAAAGGTACAATTGTGAAAAAAGTAAAATTGAGAAATAGTCCAATTATACTTAGGATTACTTAAAAGGCAACCACTACTGAAATATGTACAAATTATTATTCCTGAGCCCCTCAACATTCCAAGGAGACCAAACATTCTGAAGGGGCAAACTTGAAATGTATTCACAGAACATTCTTTGGCCTACAGTAGTAATGTGAACCATGATTTCATTAACATGTATGCTTTCTGTGGAAATGTTAAGAACTCTGATTTAAGTAATACAAGGACAGGTTATGTCACAAGTTTATATCAAGCTCCACTGCAAGAAGAATTTGTTTCCAGGCTTTTTTTGTTTTACAGGTAATTTGTACCAGTATATATTTTAAATACATAATGAATACATTCATCATTGGAGACTGGTACACATACATGACTAGAGAGATGTATAGTATTCTTACTTCTCTCCTTTTCTGCCCTGCAGTCTTCAGATTCCCCTTCTGATCTCTATTTACCTTCATGTGTCTTTTATTTTGGGATTTATTTATACTTTATGCTTCTCATTCATATAAGAGAAACCATACAATATTTTACCTCCTGTGCTCTGATTTATTTCACTTAGATTTATGGTCTCAAGGTGCCTCTGTTTTCCTACAAATTACTCAAATTTTCCTTCTTCGTGATGGTGATATTGTATTGTGTATAAATACCTCATTTTCTTTACATATTCATCGGTTGATGGAAATATAATCAGCTTCTAAGATTTAGCTATTAATGAATAGTGCTGCCATAGGCATCATTGTAATATGATGTTGTTATTCTTTTGGGAAGATACTTAGAAAGGGAATTTAGGTCAAATGGAATTTCTAGTTTTAGTTTTTTGAGAAATCTCTGTATTGATTTCCATAGTGGTTAGACTAGTTTACATTCTCTCCAACAATGCAGAAGAGTTCCTTTTGCCTGCAGCCTCATCAGCATTTTTATTATTTGATTTCTTGATGATGGCTATTCTTTCTAGAGTAAGATGGAACTTCAGTGTTGTTTTAATTTACATTTCTCTTGCAGGAGACAATGTTGAACTTTTTTTCATGTATTTTTGATCATTTTTACTTCTTTTGAGAAGTCACTCTTCATTTCAGTTGACCATTTTTTAATGTTTTTTTGCGGGGGAGACCTAGCTTTTTTAGTCTTTACATATTCCATGTACTAGTCCTCTCAGCAATAGCTGATAAATGTTTTTGTCATTTTTTACACTGTCTTTTCATGTTTATTGTTTGCTTTGCTGTGCTGACAATATTTAAATTGATATGATAATATTTGTTGATTCTTATCCAATTGAGATTCTTTTCAGAAAGTCTTTTCCTACATCTGTGCCTTCAAGATTTTTACCTATTTTATCTTCCAGCAGATTGTGTTTCTGTTTAACATTGAGATATTTGATCCATTTTGATTTTAGCTTAGTACATGGTGAGAAAGATAGGTCCAGAGTCAATCTTCTGCATGTCTATAGCCAGTTTTTTCAGCACAATTTCTTAATTTTTTTCTCTTTTTTAATGAAAATCATGCAAAAAGTTTAACAATAAGTTAGGAAAAGGTAAATTCCAGGCACTGAGTTAGTTTGTAGTTTGTTTTTCTTTTATTTGGTCCTATGCTATAAAATTACATTTACTTTTAAGATCAACTCTTTTGTTTTTAAGTTACTTCTAATATGTTACTGCCTGAACAGTTGTCTTCCGAGAAATCTAGTCACCCTAAACCCCAATTTTTCTCAGTTTACATAATGCATATATTGTGTTATGCTGATAAAGACAGGAAAATCCCATGTTTCATCTTACACGGCCAGTGCTAATATTTGTAATCATGAGATGTCTGTCTTAGGTTTGAATACTGCTCTTACATCCAGGAGAGAGGGACCTCCAGGGTTTTCTTTTCAAGCTTCCAGGGATCCTCTCCTTGCTGCAAGAGGGAAATCACCTTTGGCTTGGTAAAGCAGAATCCCAGGGAAGCCAGTATCCCAGAGTTCTCCAGCATCACATTCCGGTACAATCTTCTCTGCAGAGGTCCCTCCACTCACCCTGAGTAAAGAGCACAGCTACATCCTTGCAGGTCACTGCCACCTGTAAGGAAAAGCCACCGCAGTTCATTCAGGATGAGCCCTCAGAGGGAAGAGGCAGCAGTGGGAAGGCCGAGGCTACCAGAAATGTTGATGCCACTCAAGATTCTGAAGTTCTGGGTCATCTGAGCCCTTGCTTCCTTCCACTTATTAACCATGTCCACTTTCTGGCCCTTCCCCCTGGAAGGTGTGGTCTCCAGAAGGAAGATATCCCCAGCTTGGGTCTGGACCGAGCCTCGCCCAGGCACCGGCTCACTCGCTCACAGCAACCCTTTAGGACCCTCTTGGGACTCCACCTGCCTGGCAGCTTCACCCTAAGGATCATGGGCCCAGTCACCGACACTCCACCACTTGCTGAGGTGTCCAGCACCATTTATCAAAGAGGCTATCTGTTCTCCCAGTGCATGCTTTGAGCTCCTTTGTCAAAGATCAGATAGCTGCTTGAGCATGAAATTGTTTTCTGTATCCTCTGTTCTGTCCCATTGGTCAATGTGTCTGTTCTTTGTGTCAGTATCTTTTTTTCACTCTAGGTTTGCAATATGATTTGATGTCCATCACTGTGATGCCTATTTTTCTCTTGTTGTTGAGAATTGCTTTCACTATTGTGGGACTCTGCTTGTTCCATATGAATTTTAGGATTGTTTTCTCTAGTTCCCTGAGGAATGCTGTTGGTGTTTGT